TAAGACATTTAAAAATATTAGAAATAAAAGTTTTAATTTATCTTACGAAACATAATTTGAATACTGTATCTAATCGACCTTTATAATCTCTTAATTTAAGCTTATCATATCATTTAACGTTTATGTTTCATAAATATTGCTTGCTTAAACAATTACAAGCTGTAATTTAAAATTTAACTATATTATTCTCAAAAGTAAAGTTGTAAGTATTTGTCTGGAAATAACAAAATATTTATTGTTTGTACATGTGAATAGTTTATAATATTATTCATAAAAAAATTTTTTTTTAGCTATTATGTTACCAGGTTTTATATAATAGTTTACTTTCTTAATTCTATGAATAAAAAAGTAATGGAAATTCCAAATTTATTTTTTATTTCAGTGGCCTTAAAAAAAAGTATGACAGATGAACGTCCACTAAAAAATATATTCTATTTTAATTTTGAATTTACCAAATGTTTTTAAAAAAGGAGATTGATTTAAAAAACAAAAATAATACAAGATTTGTGGTAATTAGAAATATTTTTATTTATTTAATCAAATTTGCTTGTTCAAATCTATTAGGATATCATTATTTCTCATTTTTCAAAATTTGAAATACTTCATAATCTTCTATTGAAAAGACTTCGGTATCTCTTATAAGTTTTTCATATCCATCCTCAATGTAAAAATTAAGATCAAAATCACCATTACTTCCCGTCTCTTTCAAAGTTCGTATACAAAGGTCATTACCAAATGAAGGACCAAACTCATCGTCGTAATATAGTGCATAATCTATATCATTCACATGACTTAAAATTGAATCTTTGAAATTATCTTTATTCTTGAAAGAAAACATGAAAATATCTCCATAATAGAGGATTATAACCTCCAAGAATTTCTTCGGTTCCTTTCACCTTAATGAGCGTAACTGTGTGAGATGTATTATCACATAATTCATGAAACTTTTTAGGAGTAAAACCATCTCGGCTTCCTCTTAATAATAGTTTAAATTTATATGGAAAATACAATTCTCTTACATAAGCAAAATTGCTTTTAATTTCTACTTTATCAATCCACCTTGAAATGATGGAAACAATATTTACATTGACAATTTTGAATCAATAATTCCATCAAAATTTCTACTTCTAGGGAGTAATATACTATCATTAGGTTCACTTTCAGAATCCAAATAGGAATTTAATAAATCTTGATATATTTGATGTTTCAAAAGGTTTTTATATGGATGAACTTTTTTGATAAATTCATCAGAAGATAAACTAAAAAATCTAATTGACGGTAAACACTGTTGTAAAGTACTTTCCATTTTTTTGAAATCATCATCCGACCAAGTTGAAGGATCTGAAATTAATGCAGGATTTCTCTCTATTCCCCATCTCAATACATGCTCCCAAACTTCATCTTCCTTCATTTGTAAATCATCCCTTTTAAAAAGCGAAACTAGAAATTTTTCATGAATCGAAGCAAAATCAAGCGATTCGAATATCTTTTCGGGTGATTTAGCCATTAAGTCTGAACAAAATTGTTGAATTTCTGATAAAGAAATGTGTTGAGCGCTTGTTCTATGAATAAGTTCAAAATTCTGTTCCATCCATTCAGATTTATTTTCAATTAAATATTTTTGTAAATATTCAACTAGTTCTTGAAGATGAAGATCGATAGCTGCAACCAAAACTTTAAAAATAATCGAGGTGTCATGCTCATTTAATGAAATGATTCCGCTATATATATATTTTTTATTATTAATATCAAACGTTATTATTAATTTGGGATATAAAAAGAAATCAACATGGTTTTTTAAAATGAATTACTTTAAAATAATTTCAAAGATTTCCGGTAAAATATTTGGTAACTTGATATGAGCTAGGGAGCCATCGTTGTCTTTTTTATTGGAAGCTAAAGTTCGTCGAAAAAAATGGTGAACAGTAACACAAAATAATCATGTGCGCTCGGAATATTTTCACGCTTGGGTCCTCTCCAACTTCGATTTTGATATCATAGTATTCATCATCATTTAATGTTTCGATAAAATTTTGACTTAATTTGGAAAAAATTGTGCTCGTCATTATTTTTATTGATGGAATTTTTTAATTGTAAATTTGAAAAGAGAAAACAATTTTGTTAATCAACAAATGATTCTGATTCTGGGAATTTTTTTTAATAAAATTTTTGATTTTATTGCATTTTAGTTTTTTTATGTTATTAGATTAAAATATAATAAGATTTTATTTTAATCAAAAAGATTCTCGGAACCTGATTTTCCTAGCAATCTTCACATATGATAATTATACTTTGACCGTTGAGTTATTTGCAACAGCAAATGTTTAATTATCTGAACCGGATAATTATAACGTAACTTCACGGGTAACCTCTGATAACTCGTATAGTAACTATCAATTATCGATTCAGCTCTTTCTTTTTATATATCCTTAAAATCTTAAAATTCCTGAATTAAAAATTAATTTTTATAAAAATAAAAACAATGATTTTTTTAAATAATGGAATAATTTATGTAAGAAAAGCTCATAAAGAATTCAAGGTCGCCAAGTATAATTATTATAAAAAAAATTTTTTCGTTTAGAAAAAAATATGGTTGCGCAAAAACTAATTTAAGTACTAAACAATTATTTGATAATGGTTATGAATTCATTTTTATCACTTGAGCCTTTCTTGTAATTTGCTGTAGTATTTGCTGTCAAAGCAATTAGTATGCAGAAAACGAACAAACTTTAAACATGATAATTGCAAACGTTGGATAGAACGTGAAATGATTCTTTAACTACGTCTATATTTACTCGATTCATAATTCTCCTTGTCTTTGATTTAACTTAAAAAAATAAAAGTCATATATTATTATAAAAGATATTCATCGTGAAATGAAATTCGATAAACCGGATCTTCGATAAACCGGATTTGGGCTTAAACCGGACTTTTTTGCTGGAACCAAATCACGTATATTAAAATAGTTTCGATATACCGGAGTTTACTAGTAAAAGCTCGATATTCGCTATATAACGGATCAATTTTCCAACCAGCTATAGTAAAAATGATTCGATAAACCGAAGCACGTGATCAAGAACCAATAGAATTGAAGTAACGTGATTCGGTAAATCTTAACTTTTCCCAGAACTATAAAAATCTTAATTCCGGCTGAAGTTATTGACATAATTATATTCAATTAAAAAATGTTTTATATTCATTTTTATGATCTTTATCACATAATAATTAAGATTGATAGTTAAAATATAGTGTAGTTTGTCATCTTTAATGTGAAATATTTTTAAAAATTCAGTATAATGGATTTTTATTATATCAAAAATTTTTCGCTATACCGGATATCCCGATAAACCGGATATTTTTAGTGGAACCGGTTAATCGAATTTCACTGTGTACAAATTATAATAAATATTTCATAATTAAAAAATCTGGTATTACTATCTCAATTACTTGATAGTCAAACCAAAATAGTGTGAGATGATACTATGAATAGGGAACTAAGTAACAGTTGAAACAAGTGACGACTTAAGAAGAGGACTTTAGATGAAAGCACAAACTATAATATTACGAAAGAAGCCTCATTTGGTTGTCAGAGGAAAAAGAAAATTATATGAACGATAATTTTTCTTCTCAATCCTATCTGCATATTGATCCGTTACATGGTAGAATAAAAGTTTTAATACATACCAGACGAGTTGTTGATGATATGGGTCTGGTCATTTTGAAAATAACCATACTAAATAGAATTTATTGATTCATATTATTGCATTATATTAACATTATTTATTAAGAGCAGTTGAAGAAATTTGGCTCTGTTAATAATAGATTACTTTTAAGTGATGCTATTAAATTTATTTTTAAAAAAATAACAGATGCAGAATTAAAATCATAAGGAGAGATTTGAATCTATTTCATAATAATTCAACATTAGAATTTGAAAACTAGAAATGACAATGCAATAATAAATTTATCATATGGGACTTGCAACGAATTATATATAAAAACTTATGCAAACATTTATCGCCTCTTAAGTAAACTTCGTTTGCTTTAAGCGTCACAATTTGGCGTTAAAATTTTTTTTATTGTATATGTAAATGTTGCTACGCCAATATTTATAAAAACAAAATAAATTTAACTTAAATGTACAGTGCGTATCCGGAATTAAAATTCGATGTAAAAAATCACGATTTTCTCCTGTAATCTATTACATAACTTTTCACGTGATATCATTGCATTAGCCATTTTTAGATATTATGTAATGGGAAGGTACTGGGTCTTTCAACAGGACAATGACATAAACACACGGCCAAGAAAACTAAAAAACTTCTTTCTAAACGATGTCGATTGGCGATCGAATAGCCCAGAATTAAATCCGAATGAGAATTTGTGGTCAATTTTGGAAATCGAATTACTTAATTGATCACGTGTGATCGATTTCGATTTATTAATATCGATTTATTATTAATATAAGCATCAAAATTACAATAAGCTAGTTTTTATTACAAATATCGTAATCAAATTTAACAATTAAAATTTCTATAGTACAAAAAGGATTTTAATATTTACTATTTCATTTTAAATAATAATTGATTAACCGTCTTTGGCTTTAAACTGGTCTATTTTGATTCACATCATCACAAAAAAGCCGTTCAGACGTGACTAGAACACCGAATATTTTTTAGTATTTTAAATAAAGTTGTTAACTTCTGTTTATTATCAAACCACCATTGGAATGGAGGGTTTCTAATATTATCCCAATAGCACTAAGGTTCGTCTTGCTGATTATGTAAAATATCAAGATAACGATACTATACATAATCGATCAAAAATATTGTTGATGGAAATTTAATTGATTATAATCAATTAAAGTTATTCCAATTTTGATCGTATCCAATAATCTGTGATCGAAAAATTGATTGACTCAATCAATCATCGATCCTACTCGATTCGATTAAGAGCCCTAAATAAAACTAACTCCCACGTTTAAAGAGCGAAATATACACTCATACAATTTTTGACCTTCCATCGACTGCTAACTCCCATGCCGCAATTGGATCAATTTCTTTGTCGCATCTTTCAAGTAATCCCAATTGACTAAATACAAAAAATTCATAAAGTTCTAATCAAATACGTTAATACAGTCCATAAAAAACATCCCACATTTATTCACCAATTAAATTGATTTGGTTGAAGCCAAATTTCAATATAATCAGCTAGATCTGATTCATTATTCAAGAGCTCACGCCAAACATGGGTTGCAACACTAGAGATGGTCAGTAATATTACCATGATGTATCACTTTCGGTTTTAATCTTTTATTTATACTGTAACTACCTTATTTAGTTACATAATACCCACTTCAAAAGTAGTGATTGGAACCGGCTAATTTTAACGATTAATTATTAACGTAAATTGATGCATGCATATTAATTTAATGTATTTTATACATTTTTGGCATCAATAAATTCGCCATTGTAATTACAATTAGGGGTTTAACAAACAGGTCTATATTCAAAATGTGTAATTTACGTTCACTTTAATATATATATATATATATATATATATATATAACACTTTTTCCGCAAGAAAATTTTAGGAAAAGTGATAAAAAAAATTTTAATGTCAAAATAAAGAGGTCCAAAACGTAAAACTAACTCTCAAGAAAATGAATGTTATTTGTCCGAAATAATGAATATGTAGATATGTTTAAAGAAGGAAAGTAAGAATGTATTTGATAATTTAGCTGATTTAAATAAATAAAATTTTATTGATTTTTAATTACATTCTTTAACAGTTAAGTTTTATTAAAAATAATTTTTAAGACGGTTAACCGAACATAGTTAACCGGTTAAAGTTTTAAATGACAATATTAGAAAAATAATGATGATGATGATGATGTGTACAGTATTTATATCTTATATCTTATAATCAGTTTATTCATGTGAGGATTGAGTTGAAATTATATACACAATCTCGTAAACTTTGCATTATAATCAATCAAAAACGTGATCTAAAGCTATTGGTTACAGTCACTTAGAATAGCATGTCATATTATATTACATAGACAACCAGTGTTTGAATGCTCACACCAGGTTATACTTTGAGCTTTATTAAGTTTAAGTTAATCTTAAAAATAGAAATATTAATACATTTCTTATGAGGCGTTTAAATATCTATATTAATTAAATTTATTTTCACTATTACAAATCTATTAAATCTATTGCGATTAGTTAAACAATAAATATCATTCCAGTTCGAAAATTTTCACACATAATTTCTGGCGAATCGCGTACTATGAAATTGCTAAAAGAATACCTTAACATAATCAGGAAACGTGTTACGTTCAAGGCGTAATGATTCATGTTTGAAATTCTCTAAAAATTAATGTATAACATATTTATTTTGAAAATGATACACAAATTTCTTCACAAATATTCTTGGCTGAACTATGCCATATTTCAAAAACGAATTTCTCAAATTTTTAAGATTTTGCGATAAAATGTTTTCCAACACATAATGAATATTAGTTAATTGAAGCACTTTTCCATGGATTTGAGATCCTTAATGCCAGCCCCATCCAGTGTCCATTTATTTAAATGCTAAGATCTGGGGGTATTGATGGTATATATTATTGAAAAAAATGCAAGACGTTATTAATCTAATTAAGTATTTTTAAAATGATTACTAGAATTGATTTTACTGAAAGCTTAATATATTATATAATTCAAATTTATTAAAATTAAACCATTTCATAGGAATTTCCTCTCAAGCATTAATTATTAGATTTAATTTTTGCTTTTCTTTTTTAGGACCGCCTTCTTCTTCTAATGATAATAATTTGAAAATAGTCAGAAGATTTGGGGCGAAAACTTTTATAGACTTAACTCTCTTGAGTTCTTAATTGTTTGTGCGATTTATTGTTATAACTTTGCTCATAAGGAAATTTATATTCGGAAGGAAAAGTACTTAAAACTATATGACCAGCAAAGCTAAATGGTTCTATTACTGTTAATACACGTATTTTATCCATATTTGAACAGTTAGAAACAACTAAAAGCATAAGACATTTAGTAACAGGAGTAAACAAATTTCTACTTAATTTTATTCACCGAATAACAAATGATTATAAATGCTTGCAATTGTAGTTCAATCCATAACAGTTTTTTCTGAGCACCACATAGAGGTGGCAAATCTCGTTCAGGTAAAATATCATAACAATGTCATCATTTTAATCTAAAGTTGGTATTAGACGGTTCCAAAAGCTCAATCTTCTATCTTTGTTATCTATCATAACCGATTCAACAACTTAATAGTTACGTTAAAACAACACTCCTAATAAGTATTATGGGTAAGGTCTAGTCACAACATTTGGGGTCAATCAAGTGAGCCCTTTAAAACGCCTAATAACTCCGAAATAATGGTAATTAGCGGCGGAAAGACGATAAAAATAAAGGCGTTCATACCTAAAGTATGATTAATTTCGCCGACACATTTCTTAATTGTTCGTATGTTTTACTAATTATCATGAGAAGTTTTGTTTTTCCTTTTCTATTATTTATCTCTTCCCTTTTTTATGAAATTAGATACAGTACGCAGTAATACAAATCGCATGTGCTTATTTTCTGTTTTAACGTTATGTTACAGTGTTTCGTGATTATTAAGAGAAAAATCGATATGGCAAACACGGGTTATGCTTATTGTGGCACATAACTATTTATCCTTTTTTATAATTAATAATACAATAGATGATAAGTTTTTTTTTATTAATTATCTGTATTAATTACATTTTTTTACAGTAATTTAATTTTACTGAATCATTTATTTGAAAAAAATATTTAATAATTAATAATATATTGATGGTAAGTTATTTTAATTAAATAATTTTTGTTATAATCTAATTTTAACAGACAAATTTATCTCTATGTTAAATTTACTTCATTAATTATATTTATTAAGGATTATTTTTTATTTTTAAACATATGATAAAATAATAATAATACTATATATATGAATTATTATTTAGAAAAAAAATTTGCTTTCAATGTAATAAAAAAAATATTGGATATAAATGGTATAAAGAATGTAATTCTAAAACTATTTCAACAAAATTTTTTAATTGGACTAGTAAAAATGAATTTATTTATTTATTGATAAATTTATTCAAGAAATTTAAATTCATGCTTAAAATAAAAGGCAATTAATAAAATGCATTTACTAAGATAAAACTTGAAAGTATTGAGAGGTAAAATATTCAACAAAACAATTGCCTCTCCAACAAAAAGTCTCTTGTTTTCTAATATTACAACAAGAGAATTTTTACATTAATTAGCATTACTGGATGATGAATTGGATGCTGTAAAAAATGGAAAACTTATATTGTAGAATAGAAATTTAAACTGGGAAATGAAATCAGCTAAATTGGAATACATTATAACAGACAGTTTTTGCGGAAATAAACATTTATCCATTTAAATATCTTCAATACGTAACATCCATATTTGTAATCTAAAAAAAAGAAAATCGATTTATATACTGTATAACAAGAATGTTATTTTTATGTGATTGTAATTTGGTATAATAATTCTTCAAATCGCATAATATTTTTGATAATTTAACTTTTTTCCTAAAATAAGACGAGACTCCGTGACGTGATTGAATTTTGCGAAATATTTCCTGAATCGTGGCAGATCCAAGATTCAGCCCTATTGCGCAAGATTAATTCCATCATTACGCAAATAAACTGCGCGATATTGCTGAATATTGTTATGCCACTAACTCGGATCTGCAATTAATCACAGATTTCGCCGCGGAATCTCTGATCGGCAATTGTTCCCGCGCAATATTGCTGAATCTGTTAATCTCAGATACATAATTAAACCCGTAATAATTCGTGGAATCAGTGATTAATAATAATCCACTGCACGGAATTAAACTGCGCAATATTGCGAAGGAACAAGTCCGCCCAAAATTGTTCAATTTTATTTATTTACTATTTACAAAACCTTTTTTCTTTATCAATGAAACAGGACCACACCGTACAATTATATAACTAGCATGGAGAACGTTCTACCCTCCAAGAAATTGCTTCACAATTGCTTTTGTATAACCCAAGTTTTCCTGTCAAACATTCAAAAATTTCATAATGTACACCAAAATGATTTATTTCCTGATGCTTATAGCCTGTGTTCCAGCTGCTATTGCTACATTTGTCGAAGTTGCAGGAACCGTGACCAGCAAAGATAATTTTCAACGTAAACATCTCAAAGCTAACTTATGCTTTTGGGCAGACACTGGATATCACAGTTACAGGGTCTTCGATATAGATTCACCAAATGGAAAAAGAGCTTGTTCTTCCGATGGACAATGGTGTTTTAAAGTGGTCTCATTTGACGAAAGACAAGGAAGAATTGATTATTCAATCTACTTTGGGAACCGAGAATCACAAGTACAATCATCTGTTGATACCAACTCTGTTTGTACAGAACCTAAAACAAATGAGTTTACTTGTGAATGGGAGATTAAAAATCACAGATTTGAAATGTAATATCGAAACAAATACGAAAATTTATCGTCCGTTTTGACTAAAAAGTTTATGAAAATTTGTTTAATATTAAAGTTCTATTTATTTTATACAAAAGTAAATCAAATAGTAATTGATCTTTCTAGGTAATTTATGAAAATTCAGTTATCTAATTTTATTTTATACAATTTGATAGATTATGAAATATTATAGTTCATAGTTTTAATATATTACACATGATATTACATTTATTTTTACATATAAGATTAATGATATCAATAACCAGCTGTACTAATTTTTGATTATAAAATTTAATATTTCCTGAATAATTTCACATTACCTTTAGGCAATTAAAAAATGCATATCTAAAATTGTTTTCACACTATTAACTTAGTAATTGCGGAGTAAAGTTCTGAAATTTTTAATTTTTATTTATATATTTAGCGGATGTCAAATTAAGTCTGAAAAATTAAAATCCTTTAAATATAATAAACTTTATCAAGGATCCTGATGTTCTATCTTATAATAACTTCATATAAAAAATCATTAAAAGTTAAGTTTTATTTGGCAAATACCGAAATAAACCACTTGCAAAAAAATCTATTTTGACTGTTATTATACATTCAAACTACCTCTTCAATAATTTCGTCATTAATCTCTATAGGAATTTCTATCATTTTATAGATTATTTTAGGGATGTTAAGCGTTTTAATAAATGTGACAAAGTAGATAAATCTATTAATAAGACATTAAATCAAGATCAAGAAATGCTAAATTTTAACGTTGATGAAACGTATTAATAGACTGACCATACCTCAGAATAAGTTGAAAAGTAACACATATGAACAGGTGATGTCACTTCTAATACTAGATTTATTTCCACTGGTGGAGAAGTAACGTATCTACAGTATATACAGTTACGAACAAAATTTTAAAATCGAATTAAGCTTCTCTGCTAATTTACTTTATATGTGCATTGGATGAAATAATTTAGTTACAGGCATGTTAGTTGTACAAAATTGTTAATCATTTTTGTTAGAATAGCATATACCATAAAACGGGATCAAATTCTAGATGAAATAAGTCGCTTAAATTCTTTAAATATTTAAATTCCGGGAATGTCAATAAGAGAACAACTCACAAATACGAAGAATCTGAATATACTAGCCAATGACGCCATAAAGTTAATGATATATTTTGTGAGTTAATATATTTTTCACGTACTGTAGTTATTAATATTTCAAGTTTTTAAAATCAATAAGTGTATAAATAATTTATTTAACCAATTGAAAAACCTATAAATTTTTAATATTTAGTTGAAGATTTGAGAGTATATGGAAAACCGGTACGGTATGATTCGCCAGACCAGTACGATACGATTATGCAGATCAGGAATTTTTGTGAAATTTGACATCGTACCGTACCGGTTTTCTATCTACCCTACCGTACGCAATGAAATTTTTGTAAAATTTATATTTATTTATTACTTATTTTATTAAAATATTATTCTAAATTTTAATTAATTTAAATAATTATTAAAATATATAATACAATTACAATTTAACAATTTGAAATCAAATATTTTAATAATTAACGGATCGGATAAATTTGAGTAAAATCGTAAATTCTTCTATCAGTTTCTCAATTTCACTAAAACAGATGGTTATGCTGAACTATTTTTTAATTTGTTTAGGGAGAATATTCTTTTCAAGAAGTGAAAGTTACAAAATATTTTATTGAATAATATGAACTCATCGATGTGCTATCCTCTGCTTTGGAAATATATAAGCCAGTTTCTTCTGCCAAAATACAAATGCATTCGTCATATGAATATTCCTTTTTATTGATTTTAAACTCTGTGCAACTTTTTGAATTTATTGTGAAATATTACTTTTTCTTTTTTGAATTTTTGTGATTTATTTTTTGTTTTTGCCTTGCTTTTTTTTGAGTCATCATTAAAGAAAACTTGTTATAAAAAAAATTCTGTCGATAATGTCCGGTATAATTTTATAAAAATGTCGAATATAAATAAAAATATCAATTAATATAAATTTTAAAGGTAAATAGATAAAAAAAAAAAAATAAAGTTAAAATTAATTCAATATTAATAACTATTCATTTAATTATGTCGAATATGTGAGATTCATGTTTTAAATATTTCCTATTTTCCATTTAGCCTTTGATAAGAAGTGTATGCAATTTGATCTAGTTCTTAATTATTATTAGCGAATTGTTCTATATTATCCTCATTAAAAAATTTTTCATTGTTGATTATCAACAAATGCATATCAAGCAGCTGAACATAATAAAAAAGTATTTAGATATTATCGAAGAGTTCAAATGTCGATATAGTCGTAAAAAATACTAGCGATAAAAATTTTAGATTTCATGCATTCTGAAGAAAGGTTAAAATATAATAGATAAATTCGTCAGTCTGCTATAATCAAATTTTACAAAATTTGTTTTAATATGGGAGATACTATATTCGTAACTCGATTTTAATAGTAAAACTCCCATATATTTAATTAATTAATTAACCCTTTAACTTATGTATCTCTTATTTTAAGTTTTATACCGTTAATAATTTTATTTATTTTGTTTTGCATAACATTGCTTGCCCTATAAACTGATTAAACATTTAACAAGCAAGTTGCAATTTTTGAGAATAATATATCAAAAGGCTGGAAACAACAAATTTATTATCATAAAAAAATTTTTTTTTGTAGAATATCAGTTTTATGTAAATATAAATAAGCGAAAGTATTTGGAAATTCCCAATTTGTTTATTTTAATTTTATTAGCGTTAAAATAAAGTATGAATGATTTTTTATCCTAGATGTTTTTAAAATAGAAAGGAGATAGATACTTTATAATATTTTTAATTATTAATTACATTTTGCTTGTTCAAGTCTAATAGGATATTAAATGCATTATTTTTCATATTTCAAAATTTGAAATACTTCATAATCTTCTACTGAAAATAACTCATCGCTCGCTCTTATATTTTTTTCATATCCATCCTCAATGCAAAAATGATTAAAATCACCATTCCTTCCCGTCTCTTTCAAAGTTTGTATACAAAGGTCATTACCAAATGAAGGACCAAACTCATCGTCATAATATATTGCATAATCTATATCATTCACATGACTTAAAATTGAATCTTTGAAATTATCTTTATTCTTGAAAGAAAATATGAAACTATGCTTGGTTCGTCCCCACTCAGCGCCACTATATCTCCATAATAGAGGATTATAACCTCCAAGAATTTCTTCGGTTCCTTTCACCTTAATGAGCGTAACTGTGTGAGATGTATTATCACATAATTCATGAAACTTTTTAGGAGTAAAACCATCTCGGCTTCCTCTTAATAATAGTTTAAAT